TATAGAAGTAATATAAAATGTCTGCTCTATGTCAATTTTAGGCACAAGCCTTTCATGTTATTGTCTCAAAATGGCTGCTAGGCAATTACTTGGAAGTGTTCTATAAAAATTGTAGTCTTAAAGTGATATAAAATACGCCATGTCAATTTAAGGTGCAAGATTCATGTTTTCCTCTCAAAATGGCTGCCAGGCAATTACATAAAATCAGCTTGAAGGTGTCTTGTAATAATTGTATGGTCTTCAATCTGCAATTGTATAGAAGTAATATAAAATGTCTGCTCTATGTCAATTTTAGGCACAAGCCTTTCATGTTTTTGTCTCAAAATGGCTGCTAGGCATTTATATAAAATCAGGTTGGAAGTGTCCTATAAAAATTGTAGTCTTAAAGTGATATAAAATATGCCATGTCAATTTAAGGCACAAGATTCTTGTTTTCCTCTCAAAATGGCTGCCAGGCAATTACATAAAATCAGCTTGAAGGTGTCTTGTAATAATTGTATGGTCTTCAATCTACAATTGTATAGAAGTAATATAAAATGCCTGCTCCATGTCAATTTTAGGCACAAGCCTTTCATGTTTTTGTCTCAAAATGGCTGCCAGGCAATCACAGAAAATCAGGTTGCAAGTGTCCTACAAGAATTGTAGTTTTGAAGTAATATAAAATATGCCATGTCAATTTAAGGCACAAGTTTCATGTTTTCCTCTCAAAATGGCTGCCAGGCAATTACACAAAATCAGCTTGCAGGTGCCTCGTAAGAACTGTATAGTCTTCAATCTACAATTATAATTCAAGTACTATAAAATGCCTGCGCCATGTGAATTTAAGGCACAAGATCACGTTTTCGTCACAAAATGGCAATTACACGAAATCAACTAGAAAAGAATTGCACAACTCTTGAATATAAAATGCCTACGCCAAGAAAATGGCCGTACTAAGTTTACATGAACGTTCCACCGTCAAATAAAACAGATTTTGAAGAAAAATGGCACACATCGATCCAAAGTTTAACATATTACGAAAATGTCTGTGGCGAAACTTGCTTAAAAAATTGAAGCGAACGTCTCTGAAGGAAAGGTCATCGAAGCACGGTCGTAAGGGGACAAATATTTTGGAAAAAGTTTCGTGATGAATTTCTCCCTGAAACTGCTTCCACAAGCTGACTCATCCTCCACGTCATGCATGCGGTATACGTCTATGTACACCAGCAGGAACACCTATTACAGCGGTGTGTCTGTCTCTACCCCTATTTCACTCTAGCCTTCGACCCTCTTTTTCCACCGCATAGGGTTCTCAGTGGGAACTCGGCTTACTGTTACGAGGCATACATGTCAGTCTGCTACTGTTACGTACGTGACTGGCGTATGTACAGGCTGGTACCGTAATGGAAGGGGATGATTCTTCGCGAACGAGGGAAAAAATGGCTCGGAATCACCCCACAACCCTTTCGTGCCGTTTTCTCTTTTTTTCTCCTTTCAATTCACGTTTAATCGTTATTTCACGCTGTTCTCGCAGAAATTACGCGGTAGAGAAGTCCTAGGGACGCCTTATCTTCGTACGAGGACCTAGCGTTTTTGGAAAGAACGGATCACATTTAGGGTTTTCTGCCGTCGCATTTTAAGTTCTGGTATTATGTTCTCTCTACGGTTAATTTTTATATTCTTGGGACGGTTTGGGACTTCACAGGGATGTTCTACACTAGGTTTTATAGTTTCTACGCTCTCAGTGATTAATTTTTACCTTCTGGGGCGGTTTGAGATCATAGGGATATTACTACACTAGGTTTTCTAGTTTCTACGCTCTCAATGATTAATTTTAACCTTCTTGGGACGGTTTGCGATTTCACAGGGATATTACTATACTAGGTTTTATAGTTTCTACGCTCTCAGTGATTAATTTTTACCTTCTGGGGCGGTTTGAGATCATAGGGATATTACTACACTAGGTTTTCTAGTTTCTGCGCTCTCTACGATTAATTTTAACCTTCTTGAGCGGTTTGGGACTTCACAGGGATATTACTACACTAGGCTTTATAGTTTCTGCGCTCTCAATGATTAATTTTTACCTTCTGGGGCGGTTTGAGATTTCGGATCACAGAGATATCACCACTCTAGGGTTTTATAGTTTCGCGACGATTAATTTTTAGTGGAACTGAGGGGATTTAAGGTGGTTACATTCTAAGAAAATTTCTGGACCGAAAGAAATATCTGGAATGGTCGAACATGGAGGATTTCTGCATTTTCTTTCACGAGGGTACAGAATGGCCAACCTTAGAATAATTTACAACGTTACATAATCGCTTAACGATTATTCAAAACTGGTTCGTGTCCGACGAAGGGTTTACTCTTAATATATAGCAGAGTAGAAGCAACGTACAGAGAGTCGAAGTCCAGTAACGTAATAAATCAGAATAATACATCACAATTGGCTGAGGTATGAGGGTCTTGCCTAAAAATTTGCAATTATCAAACTTGAAAGAAACCCGAATCATCTAAACCTTCATCTCCAAAAGAATTATCAAAGAAAAAAATTGGAGAAATTTCTGTCCTCCAAAAGGGTGCATGCAGAATGTTCAAAGTTATGTTATAATTTCAAGGACCGTTCTTCGAGTTGAAATTTCCCGCCATAAAATGGTAGATAGTTCGTGAACGATCGGACAGTTCCGTCGTCGGCCGAAGATGATGATCAACGACGTCAGCACGGAAGATCGTAGAGGAACCTCAACGAGGAAAAAACAAAAAAAAAAGATAATGGGAAACGTTTTTTCGAGGTGTCGGTCGTAAAATCGATATCTCGCGAAGTTTCAACGATATCCGAGCAGCCAAACGGATAAAGACACGCACCACGATCGAATCGTTTCGCGAATCTCGCGACTCGGCTGAATGCTTTCGCGTTTTTCTTTCGTCGGCTTTTCCTTTCAGTTTTTACGCGTACGCGCTCCTTTCATCCGATCGATCCCCTTTTCGGTTTTCTTCCTTCTGTTCTGTTGCTTGGTTTCCTTTCTCCTGCGGACAATGGTTTTTCGCGACAAACTCGCGTACGCGGCGTTGAAAAAATATTGAAATACACTAAACTGATTCATGTTTCGACGCTTTTCAACGCCGCGAAGACGCTGTTTCTTTTTTCGTTTGGTACTTTTATTTCTATCGATAAGTTATACTTTTAAGAGTGACATGACCCTGCTCTTCCGTTTTATGATTTCTTTCTCGTGCACGTTGTGTTGGTTCTCGTTTGTCGATTTTCTGTTTCGCGCGATATGGCGGTTACGATGATTTTACCTTGTCACCCTTCCGTTTTTTATGTCGGAACCTTCTCTGGCTTTTTGAGGACGGATATTTGGTTGCGGTGAATTGGAAATTTGGGAATTTCGAAATTTTGACGTTTGGAAGTTTGGAAATTTCGAAATTTGGAAGTTTGGAAATTTGGGAATTTGGAAATTTGAGAGTTTTGAAATTTGAGAATTTGGGAATTAGAGAGTTTTGAAATATGAGAGTTTGGGAATTTGAGAGATTGGAAATTTGAGAGATTGGAAACTTGAGAGTTTGGGAATTTGAGAGATTGGAAATTTGAGAGTTTGGAAACTTAGGAGTTTGGAAACTTGAGAGTTTGGGAATTTGAGAGATTGGAAATTTGAGAGTTTGGGAATTTGAGAGATTGGAAATTTGAGAGTTTGGGAATTTGAGAGATTGGAAATTTGAGAGTTTGGGAATTTGAGAGATTGGAAATTTGAGAGTTTGGGAATTTGAGAGATTGGAAATTTGAGAGTTTGGGAATTTGAGAGATTGGAAATTTGAGAGTTTGGGAATTTGAGAGATTGGAAATTTGAGAGTTTGGGAATTTGAGAGATTGGAAATTTGAGAGTTTGGGAATTTGAGAGATTGGAAATTTGAGAGTTTGGGAATTTGAGAGATTGGAAATTTGAGAGTTTGGGAATTTGAGAGATTGGAAATTTGAGAGTTTGGGAATTTGAGAGATTGGAAATTTGAGAGTTTGGGAATTTGAGAGATTGGAAATTTGAGAGTTTGGGAATTTGAGAGATTGGAAATTTGAGAGTTTGGGAATTTGAGAGATTGGAAATTTGAGAGTTTGGGAATTTGAGAGATTGGAAATTTGAGAGTTTGGGAATTTGAGAGATTGGAAATTTGAGAGTTTGGGAATTTGAGAGATTGGAAATTTGAGAGTTTGGGAATTTGAGAGATTGGAAATTTGAGAGTTTGGGAATTTGAGAGATTGGAAATTTGAGAGTTTGGGAATTTGAGAGATTGGAAATTTGAGAGTTTGGGAATTTGAGAGATTGGAAATTTGAGAGTTTGGGAATTTGAGAGATTGGAAATTTGAGAGTTTGGGAATTTGAGAGATTGGAAATTTGAGAGTTTGGGAATTTGAGAGATTGGAAATTTGAGAGTTTGGGAATTTGAGAGATTGGAAATTTGAGAGTTTGGGAATTTGAGAGATTGGAAATTTGAGAGTTTGGGAATTTGAGAGATTGGAAATTTGAGAGTTTGGGAATTTGAGAGATTGGAAATTTGAGAGTTTGGAAATTTGAGAGATTGGAAATTTATGAATTTGGAAATTTGAGAATTTGGAAACTTGAGAATTTGGAAACTCGAGAATTTGAAAACTTGAGAATTTGGAAACTCGAGAATTTGGAACCTTGAGAATTTGGAAACTCGAGAATTTGGAAATTTGGGAATTTGAGAACCCCCCAATTCGCAAATCTCCAAATTCGAAAACATCCAAAATTAAAAACCTCAAATTAAAAAATATTAGAATCTATAAAATTGAAGTATTTAAAACTGCACAACATAAACCAAATCCCCGTGAAAGAATAAAAAGCAGAGAGGATAAGTGAAGGGTGAGGTTAAAATCAGAGCGCGCAAAAGCAAGAGAAACGCGAAAGAAATTATAAGCGAGGGTATAATATCGCGCGACAATGGTTCGCCACCATGAAAACTGATTTGAAGTTTAAACGCAAGGTGTGTGTCTATCGGTTTGGTTTTAGCCCTGAGCAACTGCTCTGAGAGCGGAGGTGAGCCGGAAGCCATGCTGGATATCCACCACCCAGGAACCGGTCTCGAGTCTCATCACCAACAGTTTCACAACTCATATGGTAATATCAAAAAATACATCACTTTAATAGTTTATTTAAAATTGCGTCCTTCTACGTTGGTCAACGAACATCGATATAAAAATAGATATATATAGATTTTTCAATAATTCTTTAAAAACTGTTTTAAAAAATTGTTAAAATATTTCGAGCGATTAATAATTTGATTCTTTTCGTGAGGTAAGAATTAAAAACAGCTACTCTGAGAATTTTAGAAGGTCCTTTAAATTTATTGAGTAGTTAGTAAAAAATACAGTGGTAGAATTTCGTGTATAAAAAATGAAAAGTCTTCGCTAATAGTTGACGAACCCCTTAAGTATAGAGAGTCTTGAAACAATTATCATCTCGTTACACTAACAATCTTAACTCGAAAGCACTATTTTTAATTGCGTAGAGGAAACTTCCGTGGTTATTGTTTGGCGAGATGAAATTTTAAGTCAACCTGGATTCCGAGTAAAACTTGCGATAATAAAACTGCTGGAACGATCGTTCAATAATTCGATGAACTAGGTCGTGAATTTTCGTTCTTCGACGAAAGGGGCCGAAATTAATCGTGGACCGTTTCTTTACGAATTAAACGAGGTTTAATTCGAGGTTTCAATCGCACTCGATGGTCTTGAACCGTCCTGTTAACCTGATTCATGGTATATTTTCGTAATCTTTCGTTCGGGAATTGAAATAAACATTACGTGTGCAATTTCGGTCGGGAACTTCGAAAAATTTTGCTCAGAATCGATTCTTTTATGTTTTATTCATATTCCTCGTTTGAATTTCGCGCCAAAACTCCTAGTCATTTAAAATCACTTCGAATGCTACATTAAAATGAATATAAAATAAATATACAATAATAAAGTAGAATTAAATAAAATAACTATAGTTGTTTGTTAGTTGCTAGACTTTTTAACAAAGAGGGCTAAAAGCAGTTTAAAAAGCGCGCCAAAACTTACTCCCACTCAAGTAAAATCACTTCGAATGTTACATTAAAATGTATATAAAATAAATATACAATTATAAGATACAATTAAATAAAATAACAATAGTTGTTTGTTAGTTGCTAGACTTTTCAACAAGGAGGACTAAAAGCAGTTTAAAAAGCGCGCCAAAACTTACTTCCACTCAAGTAAAATTACTTTGAATGCTACATTAAAATGTATATAAAATAAAAATATAATAAAATAGAATTAAATAAAATAAAAACAGTTATTTCTTAGTTGATGCTAGACTTTACAAAAAAGAGGACTAAAAGCAGTTTAAAAAGCGCGCCAAAACTTCAAACCCAGTCATGTAGAAACACTTCAAATATTCCTGCATTAGAATGCAAATAAATTTTATTTAAAAGTATAATAAAATAGAATAAAATAAAAGTATAACAAAATAGAATAAAATGAAATGAATGATGCTAAACTTCACAATGAACAAGAATAAAAAAGCGCGCCAAAACTTCAAACCCAGTCATGTAGAAACTCTTCCAATATTCCTGCATTAGAATGCAAATAAATTTTATTTAAAAGTATAATAAAATAGAATAAAATAAAAGTATAACAAAATAGAATAAAATGAAATGAATGATGCCAAACTTTGCAATGAACAAGAATAAAAAAGCGCGCCAAATTTGAATTCAGAAACCGCAGCCAGAGATAAAAGATTAACATACGATTTAAAAAAATAATGTAGGATTTGAAGCGTAGTTTTCGACGTACGTATTCGCGTTATCTGCCACAATCGAATTAATTAATCGGCCCTCGTTTTATATCGATCTATCCATTATCGAAGCGTTCCGAATAACCCGAAGCCCCAGCGTGTCCGTACTATTTTCATCGAACTCGAATCGCTCGAGTTCTTCGAGATCACCGTGAATTTTCCAACGAATTAATATTTAACCGCTCCGCTCGAAAATCATCGATCTGTCGTTGATTTATGGTCCATTAATCATTTTCATTGTGTGTATTATCGAAAATGAATATTTTGTTGTTAATAATTTCGCGTCATTAATCAACGCCGGTACGAAACACCCTCTGATTATATCGATAGCGCTACAGAGAGCTTATTATTCGGCCATTAGTAAAAATAGTTTAACAATCATTACTAATTGCAGCGGTAATGATCGGGCCTGGTGATATGAAGCTGATCTTTCATTTATCTCATAAGTACTAAAATTCAGGGTAGTCTTGAGACAAATTTATTGTTGTAAAAAGAAAGATATAATTAAAGTTGCTAGGCAGTTTTGCAGTCCTTATGATTGCAAGATAGTCCTACGTTTAGAAGAACATGTAGAAGCCTATGGACTCTGTATCAGACAGAGTATTACTGTGTTTATAGTTCTGAAAAGAGAGATATAACTAAAGTTGCTAGGCATTTTTGCAGTCCTGATTGCAAGATAGTCCTACGTTTATAAGAACATGTAGAAGCTTAGACTCTATATCAGACAGAAAATTACGTTCACAAAACGCAACGCATTGGAAACTTCACCCCAAACTTCGAGTCAATCATTCCGTCAGCATATCGTCCCATAGAATTCCCTCCGAATTCGAACTTTCATTTTTCCCCGACATTCTTCCGATAGAAAACGACACGAGAATGGTGGAAGGGAATAAAATCAGTCGCCCGTATACGGGGCTCAAAAATCCTCCCCGGTGTAATTCGCGTAAAGAAGCCTGCAAGTTCGATTCGAGGCAAGAAAGCCGAACGAATGAAAGTCTAACGTGCTCCGTCGCTGGCGAAGTTTAATTAGCTGCGCCTGCCTGTGCGCCGCGACGTATACGCGAGCCGATACACTACGGATTGCCGGGGCTGTATCGAGGGAAATGGACGTTCCAGCTATGGAGACGTCGGAAGGGGGTGGTTGCCTCAAAAGGACTGGGGTTTTCTGACTCCCTCTGGCACACATACAACTGCAAAAGTTATTCCGATGTCCTGTAGCCGTTATAGACTTTTTAGCCATTTCCGAACTCTATAAATACCTTGCAGATAGGTGTCTTAGTATCTTAGAATTTCTTCTTCATCTTCCTGTTGATTAGGAGGACTATAAGTGCCTAACAGATAAAGTCTTATTTAGGTGTCTTAGGTTTTAAGTTTGTTAGTCTTTGTAACTTAGAGGAGAGACATTTCATCTCCCTGTCGATTAGGAGGACTATAAATGCCTAACAGATAAATTCTTATTTAGGTGTCTTAGGTTTTAAGTTTGTTAGTCTTAGTAACTTAGAGGAGAGACATTTCATCTCCCTGTCGATTAGGAGGACCATAAATGCCTAACAGATAATTTCTTATCTAGGTGCCTTAGGTTTTAAGTTTGTTAGTCTTTGTAACTTAGAGGAGAGACATTTCATCTCCCTGTCGATTAGGAAGACCATAAGTGCTTAACAGATAAATTCTTATCTAGGTATCTTAGGTGTTAAGTTCCTTAGTAACTTAGAAAAAAGACACTTCATCTCCCTGTCGATTAGGAAGAGCCTTCAGTCCACAAATTTCTGAATTGTGGTGAATTGGCCTCAAATGCCCCAGTGCAAGCCTCAAAGCCCAGCTATAAAAACCCCAGTGAGCCCGAGATTCGCACACCCTTATCCCTTAATTTCTCCCTAATTAACTACCCTCCAACACTCGACCCAAACCTAAACATCCTTATGCCTAAACACCCTCCTATGTATCTCACTCTCATCTCCCAAAAATCTCTTACCTCTCAAAAATCTCCTACCTCCCAAAAATCTCCCTCCTCCAAAAATCTTCCCCTTCTGAAAAGTCTCCTACCTCCCAAAAATCTCCCTTCCAAAAGTCTCCCACCTTCCAAAAGCCTCCTACCTCTAAAAAATCTCCTACCTCCCAAAAATCTCCCTCCCCTAAAAATCTCCCACCTTCCAAAAATCTCCTCCCTCAAGTCTCCCACCTTCCAAAAGCCTCCCACCTCCCAAAAACCTCCCCCTCCCAAAAATCTTCCCCCGAAAAGTCCCTTCCCAAAACTTTTGGTCGGCAGTGTACCAGCGCGTTCGAGTGGCTAGATTCAAATAGACCTGCACACGTGTGCATCGAGGATGTACGTGCAAAAAGAGGGTGGAGGGTGGAGGATCGCAGAAATGGACCGTTGCCTCGAGCACGAGTCCGTTATGTGACGAGGAGGCGGTAGGGGACGACGGGGGCGGAAGGGCTCGACTTTTGTACACATCAGATTGAAATTTAGCGTAGGATTTGAATGAGCGGCCGAAGAGTAGCGAGATTACCTTCCCTCGTTGCTACTTCGACCATGCCTTCGACGTTTTTCGTTCGACTTGGTCCGCTTCGACGCCAATCGATCCCAACCCTTGTTTAGTATTTTTTTCTCCGTGTGTGTGTGCGGTGGTCTTGTTTTTATTTTCAACGTAGTTGTAGGTAAAAGGGCTATCATCGGGATCGGAGAGAGAAATTGTTCCTTTTATTCGCCGCTCTGATTTTCCTAGGCGACTGGGGGTGGAGAAAATTTGCAGCATGCTCGACTTTACGGTTTTTTTTCTACGGATACACAGCTTCGACGTGGCTTTTTTTTCGAGTTTCCTGGGGTTGATTGGAGTTGCAACTTGGGATTCTGGGGTTTAAGGGGGCCATGAAAGAACATAGAAATGGATTGTTCGCGTCTGTTCATTAGCGTGTTCGATCTGAAGCTAACAGGAGCCTAATATCCTATATTAATTTAAATTAATTTAAAATACCCTGTACACATTTTCCGAATCGTCGTCGACAGTCTTAAAAACCTGAAATTTAATCTCGGACAACGTCAATCATCCTCAAAACATTTCTAGACAGTACTTTGTCGCGTTTTTCGCTCACTTATCTCGATATTACGGAAAAAGGAGAGGCTGCACGGAAATTCGGCCAGATTCTCCACTTCCGGCGCGTCAGGAACGTATCAGAGACATGTCAGTGTCTCTGCTCTTGAAAATATTCGAGGGTAGACACACGCTGTCACTCCGACTAATTACTTCGTTACTAATGAAATTAATCGCTATCATACGCGTGCTCTTCGACGCGAGCACGCG